TTGTGGCCTATTATATACCTGTCAATCAATGCTTAGCGCCGCCCCAAAGCATCCCCTTCTTTATGGTCTATTATAGACCTGTAAATCAATGCTTAGCCCCACCCCTAGTATCCACTGCTTTATGGACTATTATAGATCTGTCAATCAATGCTTAACGCCGCTCCAAAGTATCCACTGTTGCATGTTCTATTATAGACCTGTCAATCAATGCTTAGCCCCGCCCCAAAGTATCCACTGCTTTATGGTCTATTATAGACCTGTCAATCAATGCTTTGCCCTCCTTTTCCATTGTTAAGATTTTTCCGTTTCTGGACAAACAGAAGTAACATTTGGTTTGTTCTCAGTATTAAATCCATTGCTCTGCTTGTTGAAGCTTTTCAACGCGTCACCAAATCAAGGCTGCGATGGACTCACAGCGATGCCGAGGGCTTTGAGGATGTTCATCTTGCACATTGGACATGTTCGGTGGTCCAGCAGCCACGGGTCCACGCAGCTCTTATGAAACAGGTGTCTGCAGAGAACAACAACAACAACACTTCTGAATAAACTAATTACAATGAATACATCAGGAATATTCATCAGCAGCTTCTTCAAAGGGATCCCATTTGCTTTGAAAATTATTTAATTATTTTTTTTAAAACAAGCTGTCCAAAGCAAGACATTGCACTGTATTAGTCCTTTTAACGGTTGAACATCCGCTTCCTGTTCCCCTGTGTGTGTGTGTGTGTGTGTGTGTGTGTGTGTGTGTGTGTGTGTGTGTGTGTGTGTGTGTGTGTGTGTACCTGCAGGGCAGGATGCGCACCACGTCGTTGGCCTTGTAGCCCTCGATGCAGACGGCACAGTTGTCGAAGTCGGCCTCGGTCTCCTGGTCGCCCTTCCTGATGGTGCGCACCTGCAGCTTGCTGATGGCCTTCTTCGCCGCGTCGCCGAGGCGACGCTGTGAGGAGAGAGATGAATGAATAAATCATCTTAATCTGCTTAACGTTTCTGTTTCCGTACTGAACACACACGCGCGCGGCTGCCCGTGTTTAACCTCACGTTGCTATGAATTGTGGGTAAATCCCTCAGGGCAAAGTCTGCAGAAATGCCGCCCTAACCCCCGATGACCGAGGCGAACCCCGCGGAGGCCGCGAGCCGGCGCTCACCTGGTTGCGGTCTCGGGCGTTGGCGTAGCGGAACCTCTGGATGTAGTAGAAGACGAGCCAGGCCAGCGAGATGATCATCAGCACGATGAAGGAGATGGACACGAACACCACCGACGTCCTGCTCACGTACTTCTGCAGGTTCCTGGTCCCGATGGTGATCGTCATGGTGACCGCCACGTTGCGCTCCAGCAGGGCGGCCACCTCGCGGCCTTTGGGCTCCGGGATCATGATGGCGACCACCTCGCCCGTACCTGGGGGGGGGGGAGAACAAAGCGTCTCATCTAAACACGGTTTCATTAGAATTGTGCATCTGGGTTGAAGCAGCACTTCCTGTCTTTAAAATGCACCAAACAGTAAAGAGCTGCGAAGTGTTGCCCCCCGTTAACCAATAATCAAACTCATTATATTCAGCTTGGATATCGTGTCATCACTACGCCCACTGGAGAGGGAAGCGCTCTTAAAATAAACCGTAACCCCGGCGTGGTGATGAGAGTGGCGTCCAAACCAGATTACGTAACCGAGCAGAATTATTACACCACTACTACTTATATTACATAACGAGGCCGGGGATGATTGTGGTCATTGGTAGAAGGATCAGAGGACGCTGCGTCTCCTCTCACGCTGATGTCTACGGTTAAAGCTTTCGACCCGCTGTGTCCCCACATTCCTCCTCCTTTGTGGTCACGCCAACAGACAGAGGTCAGCGGGAACTCGATAAAGTGATTTCCAGAGCCACAGGCAGACGACGTTAGTCGGTTTAGAATACGGTTGTTGGCGCAGGAGGCAACCAGCAAACTAATAATCAAAACAGCATTTAAAAGGGCTGATAATCGCATCGGGAGTCACATTCGATCAGATCAGATTCATAGAACGTGTCCATGTCAGACCCAGGAAGCAGAAGAAAAGAGGATGTGATTCGTGACCCCCCCACACACACAGACCAGCTGACTGACTGTTGCACCAACCCACAAGTCAAATGTTCTTATGTGTGACATGTGTCGGTAATAAAGGTTTCCTGATTATTGCTACTGCTGCTTACAAATACGTCTCTGGGCTTTTGGTTGACTCTTGCATGTCCCCCAGTCACACGTACGTGTGTCCTGAAGTCAAAACCACCGATCGCAGTCGTGTAACGCGTAAGGAGTCTCACGGTACCCGGATGAGCCATCGTGATGGTCTCGTTGACGACGGAGGAGCCCACGTTGAAGACGACCACCGCCGAGGCGTTTTGGGCCGTGGCGTGGCGGATCTTGTCCTCGTAGGTGCAGTTGCCCCCGGCGACCAGCGCCACCCAGGCCCCGGCCCGCGCGGGCACCGCGAACCGGCCGTTGGGGTCGCAGGCCTGCCGGTCGAGCGGCGCCACCGGCAGCGCCGCCATCCCCTTGGCGTCGCGCTTCGGCGAGTGCTCCCCGTAGCGGCCGCACTCCGTCTTCTCGGTGCGCAGCTCCGACGTGGCGGGGTCCACGTAGGTGATGTTGACGAAGGCGGTGTACCACTCCTCCCGCTCGGCCACGGTGAAGTCCAGGCACAGCAGGTGGACGAAGCAGAAGGAGAGCAGCCACGTAGAGAGGGCCAGGCTGCGGCAGGCCGCCACCAGCGAGCCCGGCGCCATGGCGACGGGGAGCGAGTCCCGACCGGCCGCGGACGCCTACTCCGCCATGCCGCCGCCCGCACGCCGACCGGGGGAGGGGGAGTTAAACCTGCGTGTCTTTAGCTTTCACCGCCCACTGCCCTTTGTCGCCTTTCTCCGGTGATTTCAGCCGCGGCCCTCCGCCGCTCGCAGGCTACATAGCGTTAGCTTCGGGTGCCCGTTAGCCGTCTCCATTATCAACCGTCACCGAGAACACAACAACACCAACGGGAGCAGAGAGCATCAACGGCCCCGGGACGAAAGCCACCCGTTAGGCCGATGCGATAACGACGGACCCCCCCGGCGGGGGATTGACTTTGTTATAAAGTTACCGGTTGTCTTTTTTTAGGGATGTTTACAAACGCATCAGGACCACCGCTGCTTTGTTTTCACTGGGCCTGAGCGGACCGGTGGTAAGCTCGCGCTAATGGGGCGTCAGACTTCCGGCGACTTTACAAAGAAATAAAAGCCGATTCTCTTCTCGCTAAGAGCTTGTTTTGCTAAATTAACGCTTTTGTGACTCACGTTGTAATTAGAAAACGTTTCTTTATAAAAGCCCGTCGTACCTCATTCCTATTAATGCGTTGAACTCGATAAATAAAATCCGTTCTCTTTTATTTTGAAGAGCATTTAACTACTTGTGTGAATGCGCCTGACTTGACGCAGCGCCGCCTGGCGGCCCGGAAGACAGCTGTTACCTTAAAACTACAAATCCAAGTTATTTGGATCATTTACCTCAGTGGAAGTAGAAATACCACATTCCAAAATATATACTCCATTATAGATTAAAAAACGCCTTGTTTTACCAGCAAAATGTACTGTATGTAAAGAGAAAGTACTAATGATACAGTGTTATATTGTTGAGGAATATTATATTTAAATATAGTTTGTTTTCTTTGTCCTATTTAAGTGTCTATTTAATCACATGCCATCAGCTTATTTCTGACAAAAATTTGGTTTAAGACATTTGTTGGAAATAAATAAAGTATTTCTTTATTAGTCAAACACGTTACCATTAAAACAATGAGACTCACAGTATGAAACAATCAATCTTATGAAAAAACAACAACAAATCTGTACACAGAATAAAAACAACCATGGGTGTTTTATCCGAAGCTGCCGTCTGGAGGTCGGTACAGTCTGGGGAAAGTGAGCAGCTGAACGCCGCTGAAGGCAAACTTCCTGCTGCCCACGTTCTTCTGCACGTTGTCCATCCTGCACCCGTCCCTGCGCGCACACACACACACACACACAGAAGCATCACAGCGTTAGCTGCTGCTTCATCAGTCATAAACACCAGAAAATAAGCAGACGTATGTGCAAAAAAAAATAATATATGTATATATATAAAAAAACAAAAATATGAACAAATAAACATTTCCCAGTAAACAAAAACCTGTGTCTTTTTTAATGAACAAACCTTACTGAAAATATGGTTGGAAGAAGATTTCTGATAAAAGTACGTGTTTCTGCGTGAGGACAAATAAACCCATGCTCCCGGCGCTCCCGGGCCTACTGGTCTCTGGCCAGCAGGACCACCAGGCTGAGGATGAGCCAGAGGACCAGCAGGTGGGAGGACACCAGGAGGAAGACCACCGGGTACAGGTGGCGTCCGGGGGCCTCAGGCGACAGGCACCGCGGAACCAGGGAGCCCCGGAGGTCAGGGGGGCGCTTCCCACAGCCGTGGTCCCCCGACTGGGGGTAACAGCCGGATATCTGCCCCCAGTACCGGCGAGACCTGGAGGGGTTAGGTTGTGTGTGTGTGTGTGTGTGTGTGTGTGTGTGTGAGAAGAAAATAAAGAAAACAAAGAATGATAAAGTTCTAGTAAGAAAAGATTGAACCTTAGGGAGGAAAAAAAAGGGAAATCCAAAGGAGGAAGTGAAGTGAACAACAGAGGAACGGACAGGAAGTGCAAGTTGTGAGTTTTATTTACACAAACCTCCTCATGCAGTCGAGTGCGACGCCGAACTGCTGCCGGCCGAGCGAGTGTCGCTCCCTCAGCAGCGCACACTGCTCCAGGGTCACTGACATGGCCGTGCGGTCCTTGGCGCTCTTACAGCTGGTCAGACGCACGCCGTGCACCTCGCGACACACCTCAAAACGCGCACACACACACACACACACACACCTTTAGCATCCAGTCCAAAGAGACACACCATCATCTCATCTGAAGCTGAGTGAGAGACCTTCTCTCCTCTTTGTTCTCCTCCTCCTGCTTAGACAAAGGTCTCTTTAGCGGCTAGATGCTAAGCTAAAATACTCAGCTTGATGTGTAACTGAGGTGTATAGTGATGTGCTGTGGAGCATCCCACCGACGCGGCGGCCCAAAGAACCCCCACGTTCTTCCTCTTCTTGGTGTCCAGGCTGTGCTCCAGAGAGGACAACATGTCCCCCAGGGACCGGCTCCCTGCTGAGGGACGGAGACGCAGCGTTCAGCTCAGCTCATCGGGCGCAGGCACGGAGGCGAGCGAGTCGTACCTGTGCGAGGCGTGGCGTCCGTCAGCGCGTTGCAGTACGCCCGCAGACGCTCACAGCTCTGCTGGTTCACCTTCTCCTGCAGGGAGCTGTCCCCGAACCTCAAACAAACAAACAAACAAACAAACAGGTAAACAAACCAGCACCTGTGAGCAGCAGATTTTAAACTGACCATCCTCTGTTACCACAGGATTAATCACTCAATCAAATGTGTATATAAATGAGATGGATTAAGATAAAAGGAGACATAATACGATAATATGATAAGAGGAGATATAAATATAAATAAATAAATAAATAATGAAGTGTACCAGGTGACTTTTACCTCTCAGCCAGACTCTGCTGCTGGTTGATCCCGATGTTGAAGAAAACCGGGTGAACTCGAATCAAACGCCCCTCTCTGGTCTCCCATGGCAACGACCCGAAGGTCTCCGGGGGCAACGGGACCTCGACGACCAAACCGCCCCTGAACGAGGGGAACACACACACACACACACACACACACATGCAGCCTCCGCTCAGTGTGTGTGTGTGTGTGTGTGTTCGTGTGTGTGTGTGTGTGTGAGCCCACCATGCTCCTCTGAGTGCCGGCACCAGGTCCTCCGGTTCTTCACCTCGAGCCTCGGTGACAGTGAACGCCACGCCGCTGAGGTCAGCCACGGCCACCTCCATGTCCTCCAGCATGCCCACCTCCTCACCTGACACACACACACACACACACACACACACGGTGTGAGACCTAACACCGTGTGTGTGTGTGTGTGTGTGTGTGTGTGTGTGTACCATAGGTGCTGAGCAGGCCCTCAAACTGGACCAGGAGTCCCACAGAGTGAAGCTGCAGCAGGAAGTCGGGATCTTCCAGACCTCCGTAGAGCTTCAGCATGAACCCACACACCGCCGCCGAGAGCTGAGGAGATAAGATGAGAGGAGATAAGAGGAGAGGAGATAAGATGAGGAGTGAGAGGAGATAAGATGAGAGGAGATAAGATGAGGAGTGAGAGGAGATAAGAGGAGAGGAGATAAGATGAGGAGTGAGAGGAGATAAGATGAGAGGAGATAAGATGAGGAGTGAGAGGAGATAAGAGAAGAGGAGATAAGAGGAGAGGAGATAAGATGAGAGGAGATAAGATGAGCAGAGATAAGATGAGCAGAGATAAGATGAGGAGTGAGAGGAGAGGAGATAAGATGAGAGGAGATAAGATGAGGAGTGAGAGGAGATAAGAGGAGATAAGATGAGAGGAGATAAGATGAGCAGAGATAAGATGAGAGGAGATAAGATGAGCAGAGATAAGATGAGGAGTGAGAGGAGATAAGAGGAGAGGAGATAAGAGGAGAGGAGATAAGATGAGAGGAGATAAGATGAGAGGAGATAACCAAAAGAGGAGATAAGATGAGGAGTGAGAGGAGATAAGAGGAGAGGA